CAGGGTGTGTCTGGAAGGCTCGGGCCGCTCCCAATACACAGAGCTCCCCGTGTATGTGTGCAGTGAACAAGGGGGTCTGTAGAGGTGGGACAGGCCCCTAGAGCAGCTCAGGGGGCTGAGCTCTGGGATATGCAGCCCCCAAGAGGCAAGGACGTTTGCCTGATGAGCCCATGATCCTTTGTCCCATTTCATAGAGGGGCACACCGAGACTCAGGCCTGGCTCGGGCTGCAAGAGACTGACCGAACTAGGGTCATTTTGGCTCTTAGTCCAGCAGTCAGGGCTCAGGGCCGGAAGAGGTGAAAGCTCTGTCTCCAAGGCCAAATTCCTCCCCTTATTCTGAGCCCCCTGGCTGCTGCTCCCTGCAGAGAGGCAGTGGAGTCTAGTGGTTAGCGGCCATTGCACCGCTGGGCAGCTGTTGACATGAACAAGTTGCAGTAAGTATTTTAGCCCTCAGTTTCTCCAGCTGTAAAATGGGACTGAAGTCAGTGGGGTGTGATGGGAATGCTACCCCCACCCCAGGGCAGAGCCCCAGCCCTTATGCGAGACCTCTTGCCAGGGGCCCAGCAGTGCCTGCCTTCGGGGACCTGACCTTCCTCCAGGCACACGGAAGCAGGTGCACAGAGAGAAGCTCCAGAAACTCTAGTGCCCGCAGCAGCCTGGTACAGGCTTCCGCGGTAGGGCTGGGGTCCCGCTCACAGCAGCCGCCCAGAGCAAGGGCCACTTCCTTGGCAGGTAGGGCCAAAGCGGGCCACTGCCCAGGAGCCGCCTGGCCCTGTGGGTGAGGGCTGCTTGCCTGTAAACCCTCAGTGTCCCCCCCCTGCCATCTCCAGGTGGTGGCTGATGAGGTCCCCCCTGGGGGCAGCAGCCGGATCGTGGCAGCTCTGAGGGGCTGGTTGTGGGGGAGGGATCCCGTGGGCCAGGCTGGGTACTCAGCAGCGTGGATGGGCCCTGCCTCTGTCACGCCCCAGTCTCAGGGAGCTGAGGAGGAAGCTGTGGGCGGGCCAGCTGCCGCCTGTCACTCCCAGCCCCTCCCAGAGGCGCAGGGCCCAGCTCAGGCTGTGTCCTTGTCTGGCCCCCAGAACAAGCGTGTGAGCCGGGCCCCTGGGCACCTGCCGCCCCCCAGCTGCTAGTCCTCCTGTCACGTGCCAGTGTGTCCCCTGCTGCAGGGAGGTGACCTCCCAGGGTCACCTGCTAGATAGAAGCCCCCTTTTCCTGCCCCCCCCCACCCCCGTGTAGACCCTGGGAAGCAACAGGTGATGGCTCAAGTGTCTGGGTCCCTGCCACCCATGTCCTGTCCTGGACTGAGTTCCTGGCCCCTGGCTTCAACCTTGACTCAGTCCTAGCTGTTGTGAAAATTTATTTTGAAAGTTACAGACGGAGGGAGAGAGAGGTGCTACTTTTTATACCCAAGGTCCCCGAGTGGGAGTGGCAGATTCAGACAAGGGGAAATCAGGGCTCCCGGCGCCAGAGTTGTTCTGAAGGTCACGGCCTCCAGGGCCAGGAAGGAAGTACGGGGTGGGGGAGGGGAGCGCTGGTCTGCAAGGCTCTCTGTCTTCCATGGCCGGTTTCTACTGACTGAACCGCCTCATCCCTGCTCGCCAGCTTTGTCTGCAGCTCCCTGGCAGCCCACCATGCCTGCAGGCCCCTGCCACTCTGCCACTCGTGTCCGTCTCAGTGTGGCTGAGACACTGACAGTGAACCTGCTGGGTGTGGTGCCTGCAGTCATCCCCTCCCTGGCCTCCCTGGTGTGGTGCCGGCCTGGTCTGTCCCCCATTGGCCCACTGCGCCCTCTGTGGGTTGTAGGATTCCTGTATCTGTACTGCCTGGGCCTTTAGGGCAGGGACTGGCTGCTTGCTCTGCCTGCCAGTGTGACTGGCTTGGGGGTGGGTGGGTACACAGGGGGCGGGGCTGATGGTGGGGGAGTGTCCCGTGGTCCAGGGGAGGAAAGTAGCTGAGCTGATGACAGAAGCAGCCAAGCCGGACCTCTGGGTCCCAGCCCTCACTCAGAGCAGCCCCTAGCTTCCCTGAAGAACCAAGGCACGCAGGCCGCAGGGGGCTGGTGGGGTGGGATCACTGCCTGGAACCCAGCACTCGCTGTGGTCCAGTCCATGGGTGACACACGGGGAGGAGCCTGTTTCCCTGAGAACGGAGCTGCACCCTCTTCCCAGTTGCCTGCTCCATAACCATAACCCCCGACTCTGGGAGCCTGACCCTGCGCCCCCAGTCTGGGAGGGATGACTTGGCCACTTGGGGACAATCCAGGAAGGAAAGGCCGGGAGGAGGAGGGAGGCAGGAGCCACGGGGAGATGGCCCTCCGGGAGAAGTCAGCACCAGACCAGAACCTGGGCTTTCACAGCTCCTGGCCTTGGTCGTGTGCTCACAGAGCTTGTGACAGGCAAACTGTGGGCAGAGTGTTCCTTGTGGGGGTCTTGTGTGCCCACAGTCACGGGGCCTCCCGTGTGGAGGTCAGCCGGCTGCCTGCAGCCCAGCAGAGGCCCAGCGACCCCTCTTCTCCGACTGGGCAGTCTCCGGAAAGAGCCGGCACAGGGGGCAGTTGGTGCCCTGTGGCTCTGCTGCCCTGGGCCCCAGCTGGAGGCTGTGTCTGTCTGCTCTTTCCTCTTCTGCAGGCCCTGGTCAGTGAGCTCGCCTTTCCCCGTGCCCAGTCACCACGTGGCCGTGGTCTAGCTCTAGCTTGAGACCAAGGGGACATGCTCCGTGCATGCCTGTCCTCCCAGCCTCCTTTGCTCTTTCTTTTGGAAAACCCACTCCAGGAGACTGATCGGGAGTGGGCATGTGAGCCAGGCCCAGCCACGGCCATTGGGATGCTCAGGGGTGTGGCAGAGTCTGTGCCCTGCACTCAGTTCAGATGTGGTATTTGCTCTCTGGGAGACACAGGGCTTCTCAAACCACCCAGCGTGGACTCGGGGCTTCTGCAGCTGCAGAGCCCAGAGACGAGACACCGTGGTCCAACTCTCTGGATCCAGCCGTGCCTGAAGTTCTAAGTATCAGGGGACAGTTTACTTACACGAAGCAATGAGTGTCTTTTTTCGCTTGCGAGGATTCAAGTTGGGGTTCTATCTCTTGCAGGTGCGGAATGGGAGTGGCTGTTGGGGCTCAGAGCCTGTCCAAGGGTGGAGACCCCCTCTTTAAAAGATGTTCTCCCACTCTGCCTGCATTCCAGTGGGGCCGGCTTTGTGGTGGGCTGCGGAGCAGAGACAGGCAGCCCCACGACAGGGCCTGGGGACCTGGAGCCCTGGGAGACGCGCCAGGCAGGCAAGCTGCACCATAAGTGTGGGAAAAGGCGTGCCGGCCTCCAAATCCAGAGATACCAGGCATGACCTTGGCCACCAGCCCTGGGCTGCAGAGCGTTCCCCTGGGCTGGGGGAGGTATAGCATGAGGTCGGGCAAAGCGGAGCCCAGGGCAGAAGCTTCCCTGCCTCAGATGACAAGGAAGCTGCCTGTCCTTCCACGCTCATGCTCACGCCTGGGCCCTGGCCAGCCACGGGGTGGACACTGGTGTGTGCGTGCTACCCCTGAGCGTGGATGTGGGCCCTGTGTGCAGGAATGAAGGTGTGAGGGACACAGTTCAGAGCAATGAGTGAAGACGTCTGCCTCCTCTTCTTGCTGCTACCTGGTGTGCAGTTTTACCTCCTGTCTCCTTGGGGAGGGGGCAGGAAGGCTAGGGCAGAGTTCAGGTCCTGGGAGTGGTCTCAGCCTCCCCCCGCCCCCGGCAGAGAGATGAGGCCAATCTCCCTGTAGAAAGAAGCAAAGGACCTCGGGCGGTGCCCCCCAGCGCAGGGCATGTTGCAGAGGGAAGAGACGGAAGAGCCGAGAGCCTGGCAGTCCCCAGGCTCCCTGGTCCTGGCTGGTTGCTGCTGGAGCTGGGAGTCAGTGTGGGATGAGGTTGGGATGAGCCCCTGGCAGGCACCATTGCCACAAGATTTGCTACCTTCATTCCCGGGAGGCAGGGCCTCCGAGCACAGAGCTGGCACCTGAGCCACAGAGGGCGGTGTTTAGACGAATAGAAGGGTGATTATTTTGCATCCAAAGGGGGGAACATGGGCCCCAGGTTGTTCCCAGAGGGAGAGATGCTGGGGTGAGGGTAGGTTTAGTCCTGAAAATGAGACACACAGATGGGTTGAACCTCAAAGAACCCCCCACCTCCTCCATGGGGGGAAGACAAGCCAGGAATCAAAGTGGCAAAATTTGCCTCCAGCTGTGACTGTCCATTGGCAGGGGGTTTCAAAGAGGGAGAAGGGAATCTCATTCTTCACGGGTGCACGGTCTTACTAGGAGCAGTGGCAGCAGGGAGCCGGCAGGTGGCAGTGTGGGACGGCGGCCCCTCCAGCTGGGATGTGGGACTGGGCTGGGGGAACAGGAAGGAAAAGCTATGGTTCCCTATCTCTGGGTCACCTTGCCTTCAGCCGCACCCTCCATCAGGATCGCACCTCACTTCGGGACACTTTGGGGCCCTGGGCAATGTTGGTGGGAGGGAAGCGAGACAGAGGAAGGGAGCGGGGCTCAGCCTGCCATGAGAGCTATAGCCAAAGCCAGCGTCCTACAGAGAACACAGAAGAGAATTTCTGCTGAGGGGGAGAAAGCCACCCATTTCAGCCCAATTGCAATTTCCCCCTTTGCTGGCGGTAAAAGCTATCACAGTGCCAAAAGCCAACTACCATTCAAGTGAAATGTGAAGTCCCTGATGTTCCTGGAGGCGGCTCCTGGTATCCGCGGCCTGTGGCAGGCACATGTATGCCAGCCAAGTCCCAGGGACAGCAGCCACGTTTCGGCGAGGTTAAACAAACCAAAAAGAAGAAACTCCCGTAAGTCATCGATTATCCAGTATCCCCATCGCCGGGACAGTGGCAAGGCATTGAGAAGGAAGGGGTGGGAAAGGAGAAGGAAGGGGTGGGAAAGGCCACCTGGGGACCTATTTTCAGTTTGCTGCTGTTCCCTTTCAGATCTGCCTGAATCCCAGCGCCCACCTGAAAACGGTTACTTGTTGCTATATTTTATTGATATAATGTATTTATTTTGAACACAGAAAAGATACATTGCTGCTTAATCAGCGCCTCAGCCAGGAACAAGAAAAGCTGTTTGGCTCCATCCCTCACACACTCCATGAGGACTCAGGGTTTTTTTTTCTTTTTTTTAATCTTTCCTCTTCTCCCCCTGAGCACGCTCAGGAGTTGCAGAAGCAAGATGCATTTCTTCAGAAAGTCTTGTCCCTGGGCTACATGTTAAAGGCTCTAAGTACAGCAGACAGATAGCTCTGCCTAGGAAAAGGTGCACCACCGAGGCGCACAGAACTTGTAAACAAGGCCCCTCCCCCAGGCGGAGTCTGGGGCTCCAGGATGCTACGGGACCTGTGGGTGGGTTCCTTTCGGCTCTGCACCAGAAGAAACGCGATCGCTACCAAAAATGAAGTTCAAGGTCGCCGTCTTTGCCACCCCTCAGCTTCAGAAAGGGATTATGGAATTGTCTTAGCCCTTCATTGGAGGAGTTGAGATGTGGGGAGGAGGATGAACAGGGGTGCCAGTGGCTAAGGGTGGGGAGTGGGGAGGCAGGGCGACTGCCCCCACCGCCCCACCGCTGGCGACGCTGGCAGGGACGCTCTGAGATGCTGGGCCACCACCCTCGGCAGGCTGAGTCTTCAGGAATCACCTGTTGCCTTGTGTGGCCTCCGATGGAAGTTCTTGGATTCATGAGCAGAGATCTGAGCCCTTCTGCACTCGGGCTGACGGGAGCCTCCCTGGTCACAAGACCGCTGGTCGTCTCGTGGTGACACAGAGGCCTTTACCAGGCTCGGGCCCCTTGATTTCTGTCTCTGCAAGAACCAGGGAAGGGCAAGGCCAGAAGGTGGCGACTCACAATTCCCAGCCACGTGCTGCCACGCAGGAGGACGGCACCAGCTCCTGGGGCCACTGTGCCACGTGGCACACACTGGGCAAGGGGCCACGTCTCTGCTTCAGAGCGGTGTCCCAGCAGTGATGCAATGAGACCACCTGGAGAAGGTCATGGCCTCATCCGTTTTGAAGACCTCAGTCCCAGGCTGTGGTTGGCATCATGTGGGAACAGCTGGGTCCCACCAACGCCACTGCACAGCCACCAAGTGCCCGCTCAGCGGAGAGCTCCGAGCTCCACTAGCAGCACCAGACGGAGGGTCCTGTGTGGGTGGGGGCTCAGCGGGCTGCAAGGGTCTCCAGGTTGCACCTGAGCCCCCGGACCTGCTTCCCCTACCCTTGTAAGGGGGAGGGTGGTGATGTTGTGATTCTTCTGCCCTGGAATTGAGAGACAGGCACAGCATACAGCCGGGCCTCCCCAGGGCTGCTCCACCTCCCAGGAGGACGAGCTGGCCCTGGGGCTGGGGTTTGGGCAGGCAGCTGACCTGGGGTGGCCCAGAAGTTTCCAAAGGCGGAATTAGGATGTGGGCACAGCCTGCTGGGCAGGGAAGGGACAAACAGGCCTGGGGACAGGGCCGTGAAAGGCCCTTTCCAACTTCTTCTCTCCCCGCCCCCCCCACCCCCCGCCATCCACAGAGGCACCTCCGGCAGGCTAGGGAGAAGCCAGGGCGGGAGAGTGGCATGAAGGGCACCTGCACAGGTGGGTTTGGGCGGGGGCCTGCGTCTGCACACGTGAGGTACATGCCTAGATCGTGTGCACATGGGGCGTGTCCGTGTGCGCACCTGTGTCAGCGAGCTGTATGTAGGTCATGTGTGTATCTCTGTGTGTGTGTGTGCCCGTGTGTGCCTGAAGAGCATGGCTCAGACCAGAGGTTCCAGCAGGAGCTGGCCAGCTGGGTCACTCACACAATCCTCTCTAGGCCCGAGGTAGGGCCCCGGGTGGGGCTGGGCGGGCTCTCAGAGCCCCTTGGCCCTGGTTCTGGTCCCGGCAGTGGCAGCAGGCCCGAGGGGAGGCTGGCCCCACACACGGCCTCGTAAGGGGGCAGAGTGTCCATGGAGGCGCTGCGGAGGCCACTCTGGTCCCTGGTCCTGTGCACCTGCTGGTGTTGGCTGGGGCTTTGGCCGCTGCTTCCATCGAGGGCGCTGTCCAGCATAGGGCAGGAGCCGGTCAGCGAGTAGGGCGGTGGCGCGTCCGTGGGGACATACAGCTCTGTGGCCCTTGGCCCCACACACTCCTCGTAGCTATAAGAGAAGAAGCTCCCTCAGGCCCCTGTGGAAGCCAGGCCCTAGGGGTGGGTCCCTAACTGCCATGGGCAGCTGCCCTGGCCACGGTCCTGTCCCCACTGGATCCAGTGGAAGCCCTGGGATCCAGGTGTGCACCTGACTCTGCCCCACCTTCTTCGTGAACTTGAGCCTGTGTCTGAACTTGTCTGGGTCTCAGACGCCTTAGAGAATAGCAGCTTTGTCTAGGGAGACCCCCTGAGGTGTCTCTGACTGGGAGGGGTGCTGGGCAGTTGGTCTCAAGACCCCCCAGAGCTGTGCTTCTCAATTCAGGAAGCCCCTGGGGCCCATCACTGCAGGGCACAAACTCACTCACTTCCTTCCAGGAGGCTGAGGCCGAGGTCCAGGGCCTGAGGGGTCTCTGGATACCCTGAGCCCTCTCCCCCCTCAGGCACTAGCGATGGAGAGGGGGCTGCCTGCAGGGGGAGGCAGGGGAGGACCCCTGTCCCAGGGTAGGTGATGTGGGCTTTGGGGGCTCACAGGAGCAGGGGCTTGGATCCCCATGGGCAAGACCCTAAGGTTTGGCACACTCCCCATCAGTCCCCTCTCCTGCTGCCACAACCTTGGGCGGCCTCGTTAGCAGGGGATATAACTGTGTCCCTCCCTCCAGCCTCAGGACCCACTCCCTTCCCTGAGCACAGCCTGTCCCCACCCCAAGGCCACACGGACCTCTGGGCTTCCCCTGACTCCTGTCACCTGTCAGCCCTCGTGGCTGTGTGTAGCTGGCCTGCCTTCCCACTGGCCCTACCCAGCCTGTCCAGATCCTGACTCCCCCCTGTCTCAGGGCAAGGTGCTGAGCCTCAGTGGACGCCCTGAGCCCAGACACTCCCAGGCCTGAGAGAAACCCAGCACTGGCCTCAGCCAGGGAGAACTCTGCCCCCAGGAGCCTCCAGACTCGCTCCCCATGGCCCCTGACATCGATCAGGAGCTGCCCACGTGGTCCCATCCTTAAAACAATCCCCACTGGGGATAGGCAGCCTCGTGGGGGCCCAGCTGGCTCTTCCCCCACACAGAAGCACTGAGCTCCCTGGGCTGGGGGTGCACCTGACCTCCTTTCGGACCCTGCATCACCTCCTCAGAGACCCACAGCGTCTTCTTCCCACGCAGGATGACAGGGACACAGGAGTAACTCATCACAGACAAGGCCCTGAGAAGGGCAGTGACGTGCCTCAAGCCACCTGCCTGGGAAGTGCCCGGGCTGGGTCCACAGCCACAAAGAGGAAAGGAGTGGGGGCAGCCCTGATTCTGTAGTCTTTAGTGGGTGCAGTTGATTCTACCTGCCTCCGGGCCTTTGCTCCTGCCACCCATGTGCCCGCAGCACCCCCTCCACCCACCCCACGTGCCACGTCCTTGACAAAGGCCATTTCCCATGCCAGCTGCCCTCCCTCGCCCCTGCTGCCACCCTCCTCAGCATGGACGCCTTATCTCCCTCAACCTCCAAACAGAAACACCACCAGCCAAGGAGCTGCCGTGCGGCAAGGGCTGCGCACCTGCTATGCCAGCCCGCTGTCACCTCCCTGTGACAGCGCTGTCTCAACAAGGGCGAAGCAGGCCCGTGAGGTTAAGGAACCTGCTCAATATCATGCAAGGAACGATTTCCAGAGGGGGTCACCGGGGCCACCGGATGCCGGCATCTGGGCTCATCTCCTCTCTGCCACCTGCTTCCCCATCTCAGTGGGCCCTGCTCAGTCCGGAGGGTGCAGAACGGCACGCCCACTGAGCAGGTGTGGAGAGAGAGGCTGCTGTTTGACACCAAGGGGGGAGGGGTGTCTTTGTACCCAGAGCCCCGCCCTCTCGTGCCCCTCCCCCACGTGCCTCCTTACCCTGGTGGAGAGTCTGGGTACAGCTCCCTGAGCACCGTGGCGTCCGCGTCTCCATCTGAGCTGACGTCCAAGGGCGGGGGCCAGTCCTCGACAGGGCTGCAGGCGTAGCGCACCCTGCGGCTCGAGCGGCTGTAGGCGTGCTCCTCCGACACTGCAGGGGACATGCCCTCAGCCTGGGCCTCAGGCGGCCTCCACGCACGGTCCCTGCGGGTCTACCTGAGACCTCCAGGGACCTGATCTCCCAGCTGACTGTCCCCTCACCACGCACAACGGTCTGCCTTCCCTCGGCGACAGCCCCAGCAAGTGAGCACCAGGCCTGTGCTGGGCACAGGTCCCAGAAAGGAAGCAGAGCTGTCCTGGTGGAGCCCTGGGGTTGGGGATAGCCTGGTACTGCGTGGTGTGCCAAGCTTTGATGGAGCTCGTACTGGGGCTATGGGAGCAGACACACGCCTGACCAGGACAGAGGTCAGGGAGGGCTTCCTGGAGGAGAGGCTACCAGGGCTGAGTCTTGTCTAGGACTTGGAGGAGGAGGGCAGGAAGGCAGGAACTGAGCAATCTAAGCCAAGGAGGGAGATGAGAGAGAAGAGTGTGGTGCGATGTGGTGTGAACAGGACGCTTTGAGCTGCATAGTTGGGTGGGACATAGAGCAGCGCTGGAGAGAGAACAATCGGGGGCCAGAGCCTGCACAGTCCCTGGTCTCTGGGACCAGGCGTCTCTCCCGAGCCCTACTCCAACCACACACTACCACCTGGAGGTGTCCCGGGGCAGTGGGCTTCTAAGATGAACACGGAGACCCCGCCCACTGCATTCTGCTCTGCGTTCCCTTCTTTCATCACACATGAGCACATCAAAGGCCCCGAGCGACCTGCAGCTAAGAAACGTGGTGAGTGGAGCTTGCCCAGCGTCTGATCGCAGAACCTTTTGTTCCTAGACCTACGAACACCGCTTAGGCAATGCCGTGCTTGCATTCTGCTGGGGTCCAGAGAGGCCTAGTGACTTGCTGCAGGACACACAGCGAGTAGTAAAGCTGTGGCCCTCACAGGGATCCCGGTGGGCGGGGCAGGGCACAGCCAGGGCTGTTTCCTAGGCTTGGGTGGGGTGGCCAGGGTTCCCCTCTCCTCCTGGCCTGCCTTCTCCTGGGCCTCCCAGGACTGACCACGTCAGAGAGGCTGGAGCTGCTCCAGGCATCCACCTGGCTCAGATCTCTCTCTGGAGATGACCAAGTTCAGTGCCAGAGCCGCAGTCAAGCCGGGCTCCTCCCTGGTTTGAACATCCCAAGTCTCTTTCTTACCCCTTCGCCCTGCTGACTTCCAGGTCAGCACAGACACCAACAGTCCAGCCCTCCATGGAGGAGAAAGTTCCCCATCCCCCACGTTGCCCAGATCAACAGATACCGTAGTTCATTATGGAAACCCAGGTCCAAGGTTACGGGTTCCTGGACAGATGGGGGAAGGAGGAGGAGAGGCCCGCCTTGTAAGCTCCGTCCCCATGACCTCACCTACCGTGTAGCCGAAGAGGGGGTGATGGGGAGCCCTCTCCGCCCCCCAGGTCCCCCACCACCACTGGGGCTGGCCATGGGCAGGCAGGTGGCCTGCCCCATGCTGAGGTCACAGGGAGCCCCTGGCCCCGGAAGGCTGCTGAGCAGAGGACGGGCGTGGTCACTTCAGTGGCCCCTGAAGGAGGCCTGGGGGTGCCAGGCGGGCAGCTGGCAGGGGGGACAGCTGGGATCAGAGAAGTAGCCTGGAGCAGGTTTTCTCAGTCGGAGAGAAAATGAAATTAGTTAACATTTACAGGGCAGGAACCCATCAGCCAGCTACTGAGCTCATTTAAGCTTAGCAATAACTTTCTGAGGTGGGTCCCTGGGGACCTGCTTTATGGATGAGGCTCAGAGAGGTTAGGCAACTCTCCTGAGGTTGCACAGTAAGAAGTGGGTGACGATCCTGAGTGTGAGGTTCCTGTGAGTGAACGCAGGGCAATGCTTAGGGGCTCAGGGCTGACAGCAGGGCTGCCGCAGACAGGATGGAGGGTGGCTGCAGACAGAGCAGGGAGCAGGAGCAGAGACGGGGTCAGGGCCAAGGCTGGGCTTCTGGGGAGCAGAGGACGGGAATCTCCCGAAGTCTGAGGAGGTCCAGCCAGCGGCACAGGTGGGAGCTGGGAGCCAGGAAGGGGCGGCAAAGGCCTCCCCACTGGCCACCATCGGCCGCCCCAGACCACCTCTCTCCTCACAGCCAAGACCAGCCGCCCACTCTTCTCAGCTTGGGAGCCACTGTGGGCCCCCAGCCTCTGCTCCCAGCCCCAGGTTCAGGCTTGGGGACTGAGAGTCATCCAACAAGTGGCTTCTTTGTGCCTCAGATCCTGGTCTTCAAAAGGGGCTCCCGTATCTTTCGTGATGAGGAAGAAATGAGGTGGCTCCCTCCTCTGGGCTCAGGGCCCCTCCTGTGGGCTAGGCCGGGTGGTGGGTCCCGTGCCTCAGTGGGGTGAGCCACACACAGGCCCTGCTGTCCTGGGGACCACAGTCAGCCCTGACCAAGGCAATGATGGAGGCCAGGCGAGGACAGGGAAGTTGTGTGTGTGTGTGTGGGATTCCAATGGTGGCCGCCCAGTGGAGGCAAAGAGGGGCTGAGCCACTCCTACAGGTGGTGCCCGGGTCTGGCCCTGCAACGGTTGTTGGTTGGGGAATGATGGACACTGAGGTCTGGGCAGAGGGAGGGGCCTGTGCAGAGGGGCGGAGCCTGACAGGTGCTTGGAGAGGAGCAGCAGGTGCTGAGGGCAAGGCTGGGGCTGGGAGGGGCAGTTGCCTTCCTGGGTGCCCTGGCATGGGCCTGGGGTGGGGTGGTCGCTCCTGGGTGTCCTCGTGGGGGATGGGCATGCTCTGCAGGAGCTCCGGCATCCCCAGGGTGGGGCTGTCGATGCGAGCGTAGGGCAGGCCATGCTGGTCTGGACCACGCTCCTGGTACGCTGGCCTTGCCTCAACCCTCGTCACCGCAGCAGGGGCAGACCAGGAACCGCTGTGTCTTCCTGCCACATCCTATCACTGAGCCTTGTCTGAGGTCCCTCTTCCTGCTCTTGGGATTCTCCTCACACCTTCCCAGAGGAGTGGCGGCCAGGCGTGGGGGACCCCCGGCCAGGTGTGTCTGCCAGATACCGCCCTGAGCCCCGCCGGTGTCTCTCCCACACCTGGAACCTCCCTCAGGGCTGACCAGGCAGAGCTGGGCTGTGCTCAGTCTGTGGGTGCCCAGGCTCAAATCTGGGACCCACCCTTGCTGGCTGGGTGACCCCAGACCCATTCCCCGGCTGCTTCAGCCTGCCTTCCTGGTCGACAGTGGGCTGGGAAGGAAAACTGCCGGGAGGATCTTGCGAGGAGAGACTAAGCGCTCAGCGGGCCACGCCCCCAGGCTTCTGCCCACCAACTCCAGGTGCCCCTGGGAGCGAAGGCAGCACCTTCCTTAGCCAGTGACTTAATGCAGTGCTCCTGGGTGGGGCTGAGCAGGTCCAATTCAGTCTATTACATGTGTTCTTTCCTTTCCTTT